ATAATAATGCAATAATGCAACGTTAGCCTTCTTTGTTAGAAGTTGGCTGCAGTGGCCACTTACCTTTGCCTTTGAGTACGTTTGTTACTTCAGTTTAGTGAAAACATAAGATTTTAATGTACGGCTACTAACAAGATCAAGGATATTACAGCAACGGTATTTTAAGATTTAAATTATTCATCATTAGAATTATGTATACAAGACCATTTCACTTTAAAATGTAGATTTCATTATCCGTTCTTCAATTTAAACGTGCGATAAGAATCTTGTTTATTTTTTGACTTACACAATTTGCAACCGACGATAGCGAAATAAATGCAGTCAAATAAAATTAAAAAAATGGACGACACAATCCAAGTGAACAGTTTCTATCAAGCTAATAAAATGTTGCAATTAAATACTTTGTCTGTGCGTCACACCGTCGACCTCAACTAGTGACCGAGTGATTTTTAAACATAGAGGAAAATGGCGCAAAACGAAACAAGATGGCGAGGTCGTTATTTGTTACGCGGACGCTTTTACCGCGCTAAATAATGTTGGATTTAAATTCCGTCACGCTCTACATTGATTGATAATAATTAAATTAAAAATAAAAGTATTCCTCTCGCAGTGTGCAATGCTACATTTTTGTGAAATTACGTTATTTGTAAATAGTCACTAATAGATACTATACCTAATTCAGTACCTAATAAATCATCATCTATTTATATAAAAAAATTACAGTGTCTATCTAAATCAGTCAAGAGTAATGAAATCGTTAAATTCCATAATATGCTTCACGGCGACTGAAGAAAAGAAATATTTGGAGAACATTTTGAGATCCACTAACTACGGGCAATTGCTCCTCAACCCGCTCAGAAATGAAAGTAGTTGGGGATACCTATATATGCTACTACTATATAGCCGGGCTAATTATGACATTGGGACGTCAAACATCTCAGCCCCCCCCCCCCCCGTGACCATGGGTGCTATAGAACACCCGAAACGTCTGAAATTTAAAAATATGTTAAAGTAGTTAAAGAAAAAAAAATAGAAATTTACTTAACTATATTTTGCATTTGGTATGCTATTCAATTGAAAGGTAAATTTCTTTCGATTGATAACCTTCTACAAAATTATGTACACATAGCTTAAAAATATTATGCAGCATCAACTTCTAACAAACATCTGTTGTCATATTAATTCATTTTTGCCTTCAATATAAATTGATTCGATATTAACCCGCTGGTTCGACTGCGTTCAACGGAATTATTTCATTGTGACTCAATTTGCCTCCATTCACTTTTTATTGCGCTACCGACAAAGTGTTTACGCGGTAATGACCTCCTTATTCAAAAACTAATTACTTTAATAGACGTTACAGATTATCGTCGATAAAAAACATATTATGTACCTACTTAGTAAATTTTAGGAGGTTATTATTGACAAAGGAAAGAGTAGGTATAAAATAAAGTACCTACAACGTTTAATTTCCTAATGCAATTTTTAGTTTAAAAATTTCACCTATATTAATAAACGACAACTATAGTACTCGCCTAGCTATATAGTGTAAACAATTAAAATATTTTTTTATAGCATTGGGTGACAAACGAGCACACAATCCACCTAATGGTAAGTGGATGCTGTGACCTATAGACATCCACATTTATCCTTACAATTCAAATGCGTTGCTGAGGACTAAGATGGAATGCCTCGATTCCAGTAAAAAGGATCTCCGGTTCTCTACACTCACCATACGAAATACAGTAGCATTACGCTGCTATTTTACGTTGGTATTCTGTGCGAGCGTGGTCCTGCCCCGGCCGAGCAGACCCATTATTTATATATTATGTCCTTTTTACTGTGTAGTGGCGGTGTAAGAATAGCCTACATTTTTCATCCTGTGGGTAAGAGACGGCGGAGGAAAATTGAACCAAGAGATGGGCAGCAGCATCTTTCTGATAACGGCCTAGCAAAAATAAATAACTGCGGTTTTCAACCCGCTTGCCAAGTGTGGCAACTATGGTAAATATCCCCCTATGACGAAATCTATGGGGGGGAGGCCTATGCTTAGCAGTTGACTTTTAATATGCTGTAATGGTAACAGTATACGTATTTTCCATTTTCAAATTAGTGCGACTTATTTCAAAACTTGATTTGTTGATAGTCTCGGGTTTGAACTTCGGCTTAAGAAGAGTCCTTCAACTAAAGAAGTCGTCTTCGCAAAGCAGATGTTTTAAAATGAGCCAAAAAAAAATTAATAATCTAAAACAAAATAAAGCTTAATATATAATTCGGGAAAAATACAGATAATTCATTTAAATATATCCTGTCGTAGTAAACAATTAATGTTTATCAATTATTTCTATAGATTTTCAACATGGCGTCTTACCGTAGACTTATTATACTACTGCGTACGTTTTACAGAATACAGATTTAGTTACGCTGTGAATAAAGGCAATGACAGTAAACTATAACAGCCTGGCCACGGGACATTCGCCGTAGGGAAAATTCGCGCGGCGCGAACGGCGAGGCGTCTAGCGACTAAAACAAATGTATAGAAATGTATGAAGCATGCCACGTGTAGCGGCGCGACGAGTGGCGCCGCGACCGGCGAAATTTACCGGGCGAATCGCGCGGGCGACTGGCGGCGCGGCGGGCGAATGAAACAAATGTATGGATCAGTAGTCAGTACGGTGCAAGCCACGGAGTCGGGCGGCAGACGCGGCGAATAGTATAGGAACAAAATATTGTTATTTTCGCCGCGAAAAATGCCGGGCCTACACAAACAACTTAAAATTCTATCCGCATTGACTTTAATCTCCAATTCTGGTTGAATATTACCAAGAATATAATCGCAGGTTTCAACACTCATTCTGGTATTTACTCGAATTTTTTTTCTAGATGCATTCTATTTGTTGGGGAATTCTCCATCTATAACCCGATTCCTATTCAAATCAAGTACTCCGCAATCTCATCCAAATATTATGTCTTGAATCAAAAAACAATTACTTCCTAAGCAATATCGAGATAACTTTGATAAAGACATTTCACTCTCGGCCTATCTGGTCGCGGCGGCAAACTCGACTTCCCGTGGCCCTCAAATTGAGCCGCGCGAATTTTCGCCCCGCCTGTCGCTTCGCCGTTCGCGCCGGCGATCCCCGTGGCCAGGCCGTAAAACAACCATTGATCATAGAAAGTGAACCATCAGTTGTCACAACAATGTCAAAAATACGTGAAATAAACATGTCAAACGTCACTAGTTAATAAAAATGACAGCTTACCGCCATGACGGGTTTTTGTTGTGTGTTGCAATTTCAAGTGTAATTTCCTGTTTACCAGCAAACAAAGCCATTATAAAATAATTAGACAGTTGAGAACCGTTCAAAATGCGTTTCCCTTATTTTGAGTAAATTGTACAAGGACCTGGCCCAGGCTCCATACATTTTGGAGAACATCTCATTTGTCGTTCTCAAATTTCATACTTTACATTTTAGCTCGCATATTTCCGTGGGAGTATTTTCGTTAATTTTCATGCATATGATCATTGAGTTATACAAACCTGTAAGTAAGTAGTGTAATATATAAATCAATGCATATGAAGGTTCCTATGTGAGTGTTTAAAAAACGTAAATATTATCGAAGATCTTTTTTTTAATATATTCGTATTTACTGTGTAACAAGTGGTTGCATAAATTATGCAGATTTAAGGACGTAATCGGTGCGATTATCTTGGAATTCGTCTGTTTAAACATGGCACCAGTTTAATTGCTTTCTCACATTGGCGACCTTGATCCGGTCTTTATTTTATAAGTGCGCTAAGTCACGTCGCGTTGTAGCTAGTACGATTTGTTTTCTCATAATTATTTCTAGGAAGTTCTTTTCGATCGGTTCCGGGTGGTTTTGGTTTATGTCTTTTAGGCCCGTAACCATTTCTATTGAAACCTGTACAAATGTTGACGCGGTGACGGATTGCATTGTGGCGTTTTAAATTGGCTGCAAGTTTCATTATCAATTGTTTCGGTCGGAAGAGTTTTTCAGTGGAAAATCCAGGTGTCTAAACATAGACTATTGTTGTTTTTATACAGTTTCAATGTGCATTTACCTATTTTCGATTTCAGCATACGTTGCTAGCATATATTGGTATCTATGTAGAAATAATATTAGGATGATAAAAGAATTAACTGGTAAGAACTAAGTAATATGGAATTCTATATTTACATTCAGTCTCCCATTAACTCCTAGCAAACGACCTTGAGCGTTCGGTCCTATACATTCACGCGTTCTCGCTACAATATATTATCACGTAAGAAATACGTAGAAATTTTAAAATATTGTTATTATAAAATCCAATTTTAGTCCTTTGAAAAATTAAATAGATCAAAATGTTCATTAATAAATTGCCTATCCAATAGTGTCAATCGCAAAATAAAATAATGATTACTTTATTAGGCAATTACTCAAAGGGAGATGCATGTTGTCAATAATTATTTCGCATTTCTGTAGTTTAGTCGTAGAAAGATTTCGTCAAGTATTTATTCCTTTAAAAACATTGGAATTGGCTATTATGGAATTAAGATTATGTAGAAATTCAATAGATTTTTATTAGTTGATATATCTTTTTAATAACAAGTAAATAGCTTCTAAAACCTCTCAAATAACGATTAGCGCGGCATTTTGCTCAAACGCGCACCTTAATCGTAATCTTCCCCACAGATTGCTTCATATTATGGAATACTTGACATAGTTGCGGGAAATACTTGTCTGAAACTGCGATCGTCAATCCCCCTAAAGAGCCTGACGATTAAGGCAAGTCCCTATGACAAGAGAAGCACGTCTCCCGCAGTTGTTTTTTCTTGAATTAAAAAATGTAATAGTAATTAGTTATTAATATCACCAAAATTCTCGTTAACTAGGCCAAGTAATGATTATAAATCAGTAGCCCAATATCAAAATCTACGATTTTATTAGCCACTGTTATTTGTAAAGCAGCATTAAAAATGTAATATTTCTTGTTACAGAGCGAATCGAGCTATACTTCCTCGGAAGAAGGCTGCGGCGGCGGCGAACGGCACGCCGTGCTTAGCTACGAGCAAGTGCGGCGACTGAACGACGTCATGGATGAAGTGGTGGCCATCCATGGCCGCGGCAACTTCCCCACTCTACATGTGCGTCTGCGCGAACTGGTCGCGGGCGTCCGTGCCAGATTGGAAGCCGCCCAGAGCGCCGGCGGGGCTGGTATCAACGTTCGAGACGTGCGCCTCAACGGTGGCGCCGCTAGTCACGTCCTCGCCGATCGGGCACAACCCTACTCAGACATAGACCTTATCTTCACAGCCGAACTCACCACGGCCCGCCATTGCGACCGCGTTAAAGCGGCCGTTCTTGGACATTTAGCAACCCTACTTCCACCAGCTACGCCCCGCCGGCGCGCTACACCTGCTGGCCTCAAAGAGGCCTATGTATCCAAAATGGTGCGCGTTACCTCGGACGGTGATCGCTGGTCCCTCATCTCCCTGGGAAACTCGCGCGGTCACAAATCCGTCGAGCTCAAATTCGTTGACACGATGCGTCGTCAATTCGAGTTCTCCGTGGACTCTTTCCAAATCGCTTTGGACTCGTTGCTAGCATTCCACGAATGTGCACAATTGCCCATCAGCGAAAACTTCTACCCCACAGTCGTCGGCGAGTCCGTTTATGGGGACTTCAATGAGGCTCTGCTCCATTTGACGGAGAAATTGATCGCCACCCGGCAGCCCGAAGAGATACGCGGTGGTGGGCTTTTAAAGTATTGCGCGTTGCTCGCAAAGGGTTATAGAGCGGCGCGACCCGACAAGATCAAGACCTTGGAGCGCTACATGTGCTCGCGATTTTTCATCGACTTCCCCGAGTTGGGGCAACAGCGCGCTAAGCTCGAGGCCTACCTGCGGAACCATTTCGTGGGCCGAGAAGAAGAGGCGCTAAAGCACAGGTTTGACTGAGTTTTATATTACGTTCTCTATTTGAAATTTTGTTCATTCATTTTCTTCCTCATCCTCCTTATTTACTGGTATTTAGGCCACTGCTGAAGATGGCCTCCTGCTATAGTATTTTAAACAGGGAAATCATCATCATCATCAATACAGCCTCCCCCAAGAAATGCCCCAAAGCACGGTCCTGAGCCCCCTGCATCCATCGACTTTCTGCATGAAGGCAGGCTAATACGTGATCCCAACACCAGATGTACTGCACTTTAGATATAAATTTGAGATGGTTTTGCCGTCATCTGTTAGCCACAATATCATTTGTTGTAGGTATTTCCTCGATATATATATATATATATATATATATATAGACACATTATGAGATGTGATGAAAATTTACTTTTTTTGTCACTAAATGCTGAATTTAATTGAGTAATTTTTCTTTGTAGAATTAGCAATGATATAAGTAAAAACGTTCCTATAAGATCATTGAGAATAAAGGTGACAAACGTTCACGCAGCAAACACAGTCTACGTGGTGGTAAATGGAGCATCCATAGATATACATACATCTATGTTGATTAGGAATCAAAATGAAGATTTGTTGACCCTGTTCACTAAGATGGAATGCCTCCTTTCTAGTAAAAAATCCACACTCACAATACGAAACTGTAGCATCAGCCTGCTATTTCACGCTGGAATTCTGTAAGAGCCTGGTCCTTCCCTAGTCGAGCCAACTCATTCGTGTTACAACTATAATATGGCTCTACCACGCATAAAGTCTTCAAATTTAGAAATCCGATAGGAAAACTATTCTTCACATCGCACTTAACGATCCGATGGCCTTTCCATCAGGTACCTGACACTGCTACACAGCGTGGTGCGCGAGTCGACCGTGTGCCTGATGGGCCACGAACGGCGGCAGACGCTGGCGCTGATCGAGGCGCTGGCGTGCCGCGAGCTGTGCGCGCGCGCGCCTATCATGGTGCCGGCTCCGGTGGGGCACGTGGGTGCCATGGGCCCCGTGGGCGCCATGGTGCCGGGCTACGTGGTGTGCGTGTGCGCGTGCGCGGCGTGCGCCTGCGCCTGCGCGTGCGAGTGCTGCCGCGCTGCCCTGTGCCCCGCGTGACCCGCACCGCTCCCGCCTCCCGCCCCCCGCGCGCCGCATCTAGTGCCAAATGTATATAGTACGTAGCCCACTCGTCGCCCCGGTGCCCCGATTCCGAACCGACCTGAGGCGACGCGAGCGCGCGCGACGCGTGCTCTATGTATATAGTGATCGTAACGTACCCGACGGTTCACCCTGTCCGTCGGGAGTTTGTACTGCTTCGTATTGTTTCCCAGGTCGTCGACGTGACGCGATGACGGTGCGTCAATTGGATCGTTGCTCACACTGAACCCGATCAATTCTTGTCAATTTCGACGAGTGTTTTCTCAATTTGCCAATTTCATTAGGAGTAAGACGCATGGCTTGATTGCGACGTGAGGTAATTTCTAGTCGTACTCCTTCCGTGTTGATTTGTTAATATGTTAGCAGTACGAAAATTATGTTCACGTGGCGGAAGCGACCCGTTAGGCCGACGGTCTACCCGTAAAAGACTAGTTAATTATATTTTAAGCTTTGTATGTTAGTCTCCGTGAGGTAGCGGCATGTCTCTCCATTAGGCTTCGGGAGTACAGTGAGAACGTCTAACGAAATTATGTATTACGCAAATCGGGGAAAAGTTTTTAACAGTTATGGCTAGTTTGAGAAAACAGCTCTAAATTCGGTTATGTATCATTTTAAAAATACAGCCATGGCGTTAGTCGCAAAATCCTTAAATATCGTCTGATCGATTCAGTAATTGGGGTTAAAAAATTCCGTTCCTGTATATGTTTGTTTTATAGGACGTACAAACACTATTTTACTACATGAATATTTATTACTCTAAAAGATTATTGTATTTATAGTTCCAGTTTCGTGACCGCTCTAGTATTGTATACGGCTTGGCGTACGAAGCAACAAATTTAAGATTACTATAAAAATAAATAATTTAAAAAAAAACTTAAAAAATCACAAAAAAATTATATAATATCTAAGGTGTGTACAATATTAAAGTTCACTCGTTTTAATCAATAAACACAGTATAACGCATATTTTAAGAACATTTACGAGTAGTGGAGTCATTGTAACCGAGTACTTAGGGACGTGTCTCCTTTTTTTAAATTTACGTCTTTTAAATAGTAGATGGTATGAAAAATTGTGATTTTATTGTTATAGAATTAACTAATGTCAAGGTTATAATACTTACATAACGTTACTATGTAGTTAAATTCAATAGAGAGATATATTATTATTGTTGTATTTTAACTATATATGTATATAGATATATGAATGAAAGTGTCAACAGTGTCCGGCCAAAATGTGCATGTCTTATATATTGCCAACGCATGTTTAAAAATATAGTTATGTATACACGATTGCAAGGATATATTTGGTTATTACTCGTAGATATATGTCCGGAGGTAAATAGGTACAATCAGCTGTTTAGAATTATAACTTTGGAACCTTGAGAGATTTTTATGAACGAATTACTTACTAACTTGCTCACTATCGAACCAAAATTGGAGATCTCATTTATGTATCTTTATCATCAAAGTAAAAATCTGTTTAGACTGCTATCTTATTTATTTAAAAACACATGGTTTACAATTATCAGAAATTATTTAATTTGCAGTTGAGTTTTTCCAGAGATCGTTTTAATAAAACATAGGCTTTTCTGCTGCTGCTTTTTTTTAGATGTTTTGTTAAATTTTTCTTAATGAATTTATTATAAACTTTAAATTTCATTACATTTTGCATTAACCACTTGTCTCTGTTCTCAATAAATATGTTTTAGCCCTCTAATCAAAGCTAATTAGTAGTATAGTAAAAAAGATTTTACTTTTGAATAATGTTTTTGCCAGAACGTTTGTAATGAAGTCTACCTATTTATTCATTATTTATATAAATATATAATATTTATAAAATTGAGCTAAGCCTTGAAATTGGACGTACAAAAGTCGAGCTGAAAAGACACTTCTTGGGTTATTATTTGTATTACTTCGGAAAAATGCAGCATATTTCCTTTAGAGTAGACATAGTTCACAATCGTTTGTACTTAGTAATAAATAAAGTACATGACTAACGGAATCTAAAGTATACTATTCCATTTGTATTAAGAATGAATGTAAGTTTAGAGATATCTCTCACTTCGAGACAGGCGTCTAAGTTGTGATTTTAAGTCTTTTCGAAAGGTTTTTTCCCATCTTTATTATTGTCATTTTATAACTGTTGGTCCCTCGAGCAGGATACAGCAAAGTATTAAATATTTAATAGAAATAATAACAGAAATAGTGGTTCTACTTTTAAAACAGCTATCTTTCTGTAGCTTGTAGCTATTCTGCTCGAAGAACTAAGTTATTGTAACTGTGATTGTTATTATAAAGTATGTAAATCAGTTATTGGCATAATCTGTTAAAAACTACCTCCTTGCGTGTACTAAAAACTTGTAAAAATTTACAGATATATTTTTGTGAAATTTTGCTTTGATGAGCAGACAGTAGAAGTAATTTATATAGATTAGTCATTGAGTACAAAAAGAGTCGATCGCAGAACATTTACATTTTAATATATGACTTACTAAAATGCACGACTAAAGACAAAGTTAAAACAAGACTAGTCTATTTGAATTATTTTACTAGATTATGGCCTACATCATCTCCAGTAAGATTCAAAGACTTTTCAATACAAAGGTTTTACTGGAAACTTGCAAGGCTGTCCAAGACCTACTCCTGAAAGCTCGTCAAGCCGCAAAGTTCTTCCACTACCGGTCGTTATTTACCATAACGAAACGCTTCCAGTTACGGTCTAAAGTATCTTTGTTTTGATACAAGTGTAAATTAAACAGAGAGACATTGCGTTGTAGTTTTTAGAGTTTTACTTTTCTATAGTTACCATGAGTTTTCAGCTAGCCTTATTTTATAATGTTTAATTTTTATAAACTATATCTTAGCACTGGTGATTGGAGTTTGCATGCTTTATGGTTGTTTAACAGAAAATATTGTATACCTTTATTCAGATGTGGATTACGTGTGAGATATGGTTAAAGGTTGTTTTGTCGAGATAATACAAATAAATTAATTGAAGGTCATGTATTGCACAACTATTTTAAAATCGTATTTCGTTGCGCCTGTTGCGTTTAACACTGAATGCTATATTTAATGTTTCATTCATTGCGTCGCGCACGCAATCAGAATAAATACCTTATTGCTTTAAATTCAGATTAAATTATTTATACGTGTGTAGTGTGTTCTTGTGTTAATTTCGATCAAATAAAGTTGTCGATATTAGAAGCGAGTACGAAACACACGTACCTGCAATTAGAGTGCCGTTCGCAAGTTGAATTAGTTATATCAGACTATTTAAAAGGTTAAAAGGTGCAAACAGATATGTGAAAACACTGATAATAATATCATCGAGATTTTGTGCGTCAGAGTTAATCGCTAATTAAAGAAGTGTTAAGACTTCAACATATATAACTTATCTTAACAAAACAACTTCTTAGCATTTACTAAGGGATGATTTCTGAAGAAAATACTGACTGGACACTGCAAAGAATTAACTTGATTATTAAGAAGCATGCAATCGCCAAATATGGAGCGTTGTTTCTTGTTGTATGCGCTGTCGACAAGCATCAGCGGCACTGTGTTACTGACTGATCAAAAATTAACAGAACATTTATATTTATTTTTGATAATCGAGATTTAAGTCTACAACTTCTACCCGCACTTGTTGTAGTATGTGCGTTTAACAACCTATAATAATGGAATTATCTTATATGAGGGTATATATTACCTTTCTAACAAGCTTCGTTAAAATGAAGTATAATTAACAAGTTTTAATGAAGTCATTATTTTTTTAAGGTTCCGCTATTAATTTTTATGATCAAGAATTAAACAAATTGTTGTAATGCATGATTGGAATAGCGATTTAACGCAATTATTTGAAAGTGCTAATAGTCTGGTAACGGGACGAATGATATTTATCTATCCGGCAATTAGGGTTTATCCGGCTTTAGTCACAACTGGAACTGATTGCTGTCGGTAAAAAAAAAATGAAATATCTTTATTTGAGGCAACAGAAAACCTAATTAAATTTTTTGGTTAAATTTAAGTTTTATCGATTCTTTATTAAAATATGTATTTGTATTCAATGTGAAACATATGAAATTAAGTGGAAAAATTGTGTGTGTTCATGGTTAAAAGACGGTGTATCTAGCCAATTATTTTCGACTAAAACTAAGTGTAGTACAGTCCCTATAGTAATTTAAATAACTATGACTTCTGTTAACTTTGTCAAAAATACAAAATTGAACAGCATTTGGCTGTATGCTAAGCCTACTTTATATTTTTTAATTTAAAAAAAATGCAAATTGCCGGAAAATAAAACAGTTGGTCCGTCATTCGGATAATAGGAAGCCTACTAACTAAAAATAATTTCATTGAATGAATGTGAAATTAAATAATATCACGTTTCGAATTCGGTGCTAAGACGTAATGTATAATGTACGTAGAACAATTAAAGCCCCGGTTATAGAATGTGAAATTATTTAACATTTGAAACATATGCAATATAAAAAAAAAACACAACTGTATTCTGTCTCTAGGCTAAATGTTTTAGATGTATATGTTTATCTCTTTTCAGTGACGCTTTTTTATTTCATTGAGATTGAAATCACGATTCTAAAGAAGTTTAATTTCAAAAAAAAATTAAATCAAAAGCCTAGTTATATGTTATTTACCGGTAATATAAGTGCCGCTGTTGCTTGTCCGGGGTGCGACAAATCTGCGCAGTGTCGCGCGCCGCACATATGTTAAACGCGGTCGCGCGACAGCCCGACTCTCTAGATTAGGGAATGCTAGACCATAACACTATACGTTATATAAGCTTATTAATAGTTTTTATCAGATATATTTACTATAGTTATTATTTTTTTCTTCCATGTTGCCTGTTTCATATAACGGAGCGTTAACACGCCGTTGTTGGGTTACATAATGATTACTATACATATTATATTTCTGAGGAGTATAAGCTATTGTAAATTTTAC